TGTGAAAAGAAATAATGTGGGCTATTTAACGGTTATATAAGTTGTTAAGTCAACATAAGCTGACCAATGATGATTCTTCCCACAGATCTTCAGTAGCACCGCAGAGATGCATTGCTCAAACACTCAGGGCAGGTGAATTTGACGAAGGCTGCTCACATTTTCGCGTACATTCGTGTCTTGGCATAGACTCTGGTCAAGCGAAAAATTTTTTATGCATTCAGAGGAAATGTGGCTTTACAAACAGCATTTCAAACTATGTCGATTTCCGCGAAATTCGGCGTTTAACAATAGATTGCGTTTTTTATTAGCCAATTCCGCAATCCCGTCCGCAATTCCGTGATAGGGCCCTAAGTTTTTTGTACCATGAACAAATTCCACCTGAATTTGTGTGTGAAGTGGCACTGGCATATCTCCCTTGATATAATTCCATTTCAATAAGCCGTTTTCAGCTGAGGGCAACTTTGAAAACGGGGACAGTCCATGACAAAATGAATACCATGCGCCAACTTTGTCATTTAAAAGCAGTATCCGATTCTGGACCTTTCTTTTAAGTCGTCTCAGCATCAAGGTAAACCTTTTCTGTGACTAATTGAAAAGAAGACGTGAGATTTTGTACAATGCGGCTGAAAGAGAAAGAGGGAGAACTTGGAGGCAAAAAGTCCTGTAACAGTTTGCAGTACTTAATATCCTGGCTGTAACTGATGAGGAACATTCCCATTCCCAAAACACGACTTGATCGTAGCAGCCACTCTGACAGAGCTGCGTTGCCAACAGGAGTCTCTCAGATCATTGAATGACATTTTATCTCATAAATGATAAAAAATTGGTGTAATACAGCCATGTCACAGCTTCGATATTACACACGAGTAAAACAGCTTTCTCGCATTGCGATTAGTCAGATTCCATTCATTGGCAAACATCCTCCTATATCTTCGCAACAGTAACACTTCCCATCTTGCTGGTAACGATTCTAGTTGGCGGTCTATTCAAGTCAAAGTGGTGAATAATTTGCCAGCTAGCAGGCTAACGCTTTTCCCATTAAAGTAATAAGTTACACGTGTAACATTGGATTGATAATTTCTAAAAAGGATCTAATAAGGATGATGTGTAGTCTGGGCCTGGTTAAAGAAAAAAAAAAAACAAACATTTGAACCAATCTAATCTGACCTAACACATTATTTGGTTAACCTTCATTAGCAAATGATTGTAAAGCTTATTAATTGTACCGACTAGGTCCTGAGTTGAAGAAAATAACATTTTCAATGCTGTAGACTTAAAGGATGCATCTAATGTCTAATATACTGAGAGTGGTATTTTTGTGGGATGTCTACCATTTGTCGGTGGAAGTTGTACGGGTTTGGTTCCTTTCTGAAAGCATGAAAGGCCAACAATATTCATAATAAAATGTACCTTATAATTAACTAGAGGCACTCGTAGAGTGCAAACCTCCGCCAAGGGAGCACAATCCAAATCTTCATGAGTGGGAGCAAAGTTGAGTTATCTCATGTCATAGGATTTCAAGATGGCTGCCATGGCGGCCATACTGTTTCACTGATTGTGGTGAAAATCAATAGGGTCCATCCTTGATGTAATAGCAATCCACCCACAAAATTTCAGACAAATCCGTGCATTACTTTTTGAGTTATATTGTCCACAAACAGACAGACAAACAAACAAACAGGGGCGAAAACATAACCTCCGCCCCAACTACGTTGGCGGAGGTAATTAACAGGTGCATATGGTGGCAGAGACTTATTGTATTTCACTGTCAACTAACGGCTGTATCAGCGAAATGACGTCACCATTGTTGACCATTGAAACGCCCTCAAAACACAACAAAGCCGCTTGCCCCTCCCCTTCAGGAGCTTGGAACATGAACGCACTTTTTAAAAAAGTGAAACATCTGAGTAAAGCTTGATACATACTCCACAAGAACAGAGAAATTTGTTCTTGTTCTCGAGGCCGCCAATGTCCCAACAACAAAGTTATAGTCCTAAGGTAATCTATTCCACCTTATGACTAAAAAGAGAGAATATATTCTTATAATTAAAAAATTCATTTAAAATCATGTTTAACGTCAAAACCTAATTTAAAAGCTATAGTACTATTCCTTCATGGGATCTTTGTACGTTGTGAGCTCGTATGCTCCTTGATTGGACATTTGAGTCTCTAACATTTCTGGTCGTTAAACTTGTTCGATGGTCCGTAAAACGCAGCGTTCCCTTAGAGAGCAATGTACTCAGTAGTTCTCAAAACAAAACTACCACCGACAAAGATGAGCTGGTAGTTGACTGCCTGCGTTGCCACAGTTCCGAACATACTGATTTCATCTCATTTCCGAGTTTCGTTCGTAAGCTCCGAATATCGAAATATGAAACTAACTTTACCGCAGTCTAAATCCAAAACATTTGGCCTCACATTCGACCCACGTAATAATAACCTCTGACAGAGCACTGCATATTCTCGCTTCATTGCAATGCATTAGATTCTGAAATTGAATAACATACCGTTTTCAATAATTAGATTTTTCCTCGCGCTTGTGCGTTTCGCCATTCTAGATCTCAACTTCTTAATTGAGTATTTACTCATTTGCAGCCGCTACGTGCTGCCTTCTTACTCTCTGTAAGTTTTCTTCTTCTTTTAGTTTATGGAGTGTTGAACTTAATTCATTGGTGCATACCGCCATCAACTGTACCGAAGTATGCATTATATTCTGCCGAGCCACTTTACTTCATATTAAAAAGCATTCTGCTCCCTAAATCCTATTATGTAACCTTATCTCCTTCAAATATTCCACTAGAGCTTTCTGTGTGTCCTTTCCCGCCTCACCCGTTGTTCCTAACATTTTCTTAAGGTTCAATTTTCTTCCTACCTTGTAAATCTTTTGAGCCAGACTTACTCTCTCTTTTCTGCTCTCTCTATACACGCCATGCGCATACACACTTTTCTGTACGCTATAATATTCCTTCTGCTAATGTCCTTGTCCCATCTATCTTACCATTTCTTCATAATTTTGTTCTTGAATATTGCCTCGATTTCTCCTTTGCCAAAAGGTTCATCTATAACATCCCTCATCCTAGTTAGTTTTGTTAAAGTTATTTTATCTGCTCCTTCTTTCCCTTTAATGCCTACATTGGCAGGAATCCAACAAAGTCACACTTCTATTCCAGTACTATATAATCAAAATAGATTTTCTTGAATTTCCGGCACTAAATCCTCCCAATTAGGCTTTATATCTTGGATGCTAAGAAGGGCTGCTACAGAATCAACACATACTACTCTGTCTGGTCTTACTTCCTCCACCCATTGTAATGCTATGATAATTGCCATCATTTCTCCTGAGTAGACTGACACTTGGTCAGGTAATCTTTTCCCAATGCTTACATTCATTGATGGTATATACACTCCTAAACCTACAGATTCCTTGTCATCTTTGGACCCATCCGTATGCATATCTTCTTCTTCTTCTTCTTCTTTTCTAGTTTATTATTTATATATTTGATGTTGCTATCCCACCACCTACTGGGTGTAGTTTTCCAATTACACAAATTTTCTTAAAAAAGAAAATAAACCCCCTTTTGAACCACTCTCATTCATGAACCCTCCAGTTTTCTCCAAACTTTACTTCCTCAAATTTGTCCACCACCAAATCCTCTCTCCAAAATTCTCTGTATTCTAATATATGCTTACCTTTAACATGCGATACACCAAAAATCCCTCTTGCTGCATCCACCACCATCTTAATTCTCGTTTTGTCTTAAATCTCACTCGCACAATTTATTGCCATTGCTATAAAAGCTATGAAACTTCCTCTATCCATCCTGATGTCATTGCCCTCATATCCCTCTTGTCTCTTTTCCACAGCCTGAACTCTTGCCTGCTCTTTGCCCATCATTTTCTGTTATCACTGTTTTAGTTGCCTTATGATAAGATATTTCAACCAATTCCTTTCCACCTCTCTCTCTATTTACTTCTCCCACATTGCAGTGAACCTATTTCATGATTTTCCACAAAGTGAAAACATGCTTTTGCCAAACTACTCGCATCATCTATATACTCATCTTTCCCACACCTTTTAAACGTAAGCAGTGCTCTTCTACAAACTGTTGCCATGTGCCCATACTCTTAACACCAGTAATACCTGAGTAGAGTCCTCTCATATACCTGTCTGTAGCTTTGATTAATATATCTGTTCAGTTGATTCAATCAATACTTGTTCAGTTGAGCTCTGCTTTGATAAATATCTTTTCACTTGATTTCTGCTCAGTTGATGTAACTAATATCTGTTCAGCTGATTCAATCTATATCTGTTCAGTAGAGTCATTATTTATATTTATTACTGGAAACGTAAACAGTTGAGCCATTTACGTATCCATTTGTATCCTATTTTTTAATTGTGTTTTTCTATTTTAAATGTAATTTTCTTTCTTTTTTATGGGGACAATACATCCATATGCCCCCAGTATTTTCCAGAAAATTCCACAGAGAACATGCCAACCAACAGGGGAAGGGAAAGAGAGAAGAGATAACCAGTGTAATGTGATTGGAAGAAGGTCTTCATTAAAAAGGCAGTTTGGAATATTTGTATTTTGTATTTTTTGCATGCAGAGACTACTCTGGGCTTTGAGTCATTGTACCATCATGAGCTGGAATAAAGGTTCTGCCTCTCTCCAATAATTTGAAGATGAGGGAACCTCGAAAATACGAAAACATGTCTGCACGGGAAACCACAACACGCTTCTTCTTCACTAGGGTCATAGGGGTGCTGGAACCTATCCCAGTTGACTCTGGGTGAAGGACAGGGACCCACCCCAGACAACTCGCCAATCTAACCCAGGGTGCACATGCCATTCACAGACCATTCGCTCTCATGTTCATATGGACAAATTAGCATCTCCAATTAGCCTGACAGGTCTTTGGACTGTTGGAGGAAACTGGAGTAGGCCTACCCGGAAAAAACCCAAGCAATCACGGGGAGAACATCCAAACTCTGCACAGGAAGGCCCTGAGGCAGATTTGAACCCCTGACCTTCTTCATTCTTGCTGTGAGGCAGCAGTGCTAACCACTTCGCCACCATGCCACCCTATGTCCAAGATTAACTGCTTTAACTGACACCGATGAAAAAATAAATTGACGAAAGTAAAATATTTAAAAGATCGCGCCAGTCTGGATACGACATCATGACTGCGTTGCGTTTACCTCCACGCCATTGTGACACAACCAGTATGTGAATCCAGTGTTGTATTAATTTTCTCAGCACCAGGTAACATTTTGTTTTAGTCAGTCTTAAACAACTGGTTCCCTTTGAAAAACACTTGAAAGTATTTCTCAAGCTCTTTTTCTCAAGGCAATATTCCGACTCTGTACATGATGAAAAATAAATACTTTCAAACACTAACAATTTAACGCTGTCTTGTAGCAGCGCATATACACAGCAGCTAACATTTTGTATAACTGAGAACCACATTACTGATAATTGATGTAGTAATTAATTAATTACTGATAATCTTTTAAACATTACATTTTCTTAAATTTATTTTTTCAGAGGGTGACTTTAAAAGTTGTTCTCACTGACGCAATCATATTTGCTGTAAATGATATAAGCTGTGACTCAAAAATTGCCTGTAATATGTTTGTGAATGTTTAATGAATCTGCGGACAGAGGCCACCACAACTGCCGCTGTTCAGGCGAACCAGTTGGTATGGAAATCAGTTGGGAGATAACACTGGACCTTCATCTCTCCTTACGAAGATCATATTTTGGAAAATGATTAAAAATAAGATCAGCGTGCAATCTAGTATCCCTATAGTACACTGCGGGAAATAACAGTGAAAAACTGATCGGTAAGCGGCAATTTTTAGTTTTGCAAGTCAAGCCTCGTTTTGGCATTGGAATACGTGGTATGCATAGAATTTGAGAGTGGTCACTAGGCTCATTCGACTTTAAGCGCAGACCCGGCTGGAAGTGATGCACGCCGGTTAGAAATCTTGTTCGACTTCCATTGGCGCTGCGGACCTTCTACGTAATATCCCCCTGTCACATGACCATAAGACCTCGCGGCATCAAGGCGTCTGCAGCCAAATGGTGCAGTTGTTCTCCTCTGGCTGCGGCAAAACGGATATGCCTCTGTGACCACGGAAATGGATCGTAATTGGTTTCAGTTTTGGATGACGCGTTTGACATCTGTTACAGTTAAATTTGACGAACATGAATTCTACTTTACTTACTTTACTTCACCCCATAGATATTTTATTTGGAATAACAAAGATATTCTCTACAAAAATAAATCACTGTTTTTTGAAAACTGGGTCAACCATGGCTTCGATTTCGTCCATCACAAACAAAGCAAAAGCCGCGAGATTGGCCATGTTTCCGACGCTACGGGAAAGTGCTCGACTTGATGGCAGACCTTTTATACTCCTCCCCTGAAGTCGGCGGCAGTTCTCGTTGGTTACGCAGTCAGCCACAGCTAGCCGGCAGTTCAATCCGAACGATCCTAATGGCAGGCTCTGCCTTCTGTGTATGAATTTGCAAGTGTGAGGCATATATTGTGAAGTGCTTTGAGTGGTAGGAAGATTGGCAATGTATTTTCAACATAGTGTCCCTATCCTCCAGTGCAGTCTTTGGCTCCAATTAGGACAAAATGGGGGCATGAAAATTGCAATTCCAATTGATCAGTGAACACCTCGGGGGGAACCAGGGCAGCCTAAAATGCTTAACACAGGGGTGTCCAATCTTACCTATAAAGGGCCGGTGTGGGTGCAGGTTTTTGTCTTAGCCCAGTGCTAAAACACCTGATTCCACTGATTAACTGATCAGGGTGTTCAATCAGACCTTGATGATTAAAATCAGGTTTCTTAGTGTTGGGCTGAGACAAAAACCAGCACCCACACCGGCCCTTTATGGATTAGAGATTGGACATCCCTATGGACATCCCTGGCAGATCAGTTGGGTTGCTCATTTAAGTTCCCATTGGATCTGGGAACTTACTTAATTTTCGCTTTTATTTTGAAAATTTTCTTCAGGTAATACCCTGGAAGCGAAACCTTTCTATAGTGCGGTACTTTTGACCAACCGTTTTTAAGAAGCGTTCGACAATTTTCTTTTTGCGGAAAATGGTAATATTAAATTGGAAAATTTGTTATATTTACACGTGTTTGTTGTAAACATTTATCTTAAACTATTGGTTTTTAAGCTTGTTTGTAAAGTTAATTTATGGGTTTGTTTTTCAGGCTGTGACATTGCACACAGATCTTGGAGATGTGAAAATCGAGCTTTTCTGCGAAAAGACTCCAAAAACTTCTGAGGTGAGAGTTATGAATCACGTAATCTTATTATTCTGAATATTTTGCTTTTTGTGATAACAAGAGCCTGACATTATTGTCCAATTATGCAGAATTTTCTTGCCTTGTGTGCCAGTGGGTTTTACAGTGGTTGCATTTTTCACCGGAACATCAAAGGCTTCATGGTCCAAACGGGAGACCCTACAGGTAACGTTTATGCTAATTCATTGTGCAATTCGCCGGGTCGCATTATTCTTCCACATGAAACGAATTTCATCCAGATTTTGTCGGTTGTATGCTGTATTATCATAAAACTGAAAAAAATCCGCACTCAACCCCAAACAAAATCGAATTAAATCAGTACGGCTTACCTTGATGTTTGGGTACCCAAAAAAAACATTGGGGTGTGTAAAAACGTCAAGTATACAGTGTTGTGAAAAAGTGTTTGCCCCTTTCCTGAGAAATAATTTTTTTTTTTTTTTTTTTTTTTTGCATATATGTCTCACTGAAATGTTTCAGATCATCAAACAAATTTAATAATGGACAGAGATAACTTGTATAAATACAAAATGCAGTTTTTAGATGATGATTTCATTTATTGAGGGGAAAAAGCTATCCAAACCTTCCTGGCCCTATGTGAAAAAGTAAACGCCCCCTAAACCTAATTATTGGTTGTGCCACCCTCAGCGACAACAACTGCAATCAAGCGTTTGCGATAACTGGCATTGAGTCTTTCACATCACTGTGGAGGAATTTTGGCCCACTCTTCTTTGAAGAATTGTTTTAATTCAGCCACACTGGAGGGTTTTTGAGCAGGAACGGCCTGTTTAAGGTCATGCCACAGCATCTCAATTGCATTTAAAGGAGTACTCTGGTGCGGCAAAAAGTATCTCTAATATCACAAAGGACACCTCGAGCAATGCAAATTCACTTCTTTCTGACTTGCCAGGGGACGCGTGTAGCAGACACGATTGATTTTGAAAATCTAATGTGCGCCGCCATTTTATTCATTTTACCCAAGATCGAAAATGAAGCTATGACGTTTACTGGCACCTTGATTCAGCAGCCACTGTTTCCACTACCATCATTACCATTGACTAGCTTACTACAGTAGACAGGATATGCTTGGATAGCTCCGATTTTTTTTTTCCGTGTTTGCTAATAACAGGGCTTAAAGCTCTAAAAATAGCCACGCCGGAAAATGAAATTACCATTTGTATACGTGATTGCGGTAAACTAACTTTTATTTTACGTATCTATTGTCACGAGTCGTAAAGCGCAATTGACGAGGTCCCCCAGATAATGCACATTCCCTTCACTATGCTCGCAGAAACGAACCACTTAGTTGAATCGATCCCCACATTAGCCATGCGTAGAATCGGAAAGGGAAATTATATTTGCAAATGAGGAACATCGTTTTCAGCCAGTCAGTCATCAAAACTTCTCCCATTGCTATGTGGCTTAGGATCGCGATTAAACCAGGAACAGCGGCAGCCTGACTGCTGGCCGTTTATCGGACCGTTCATGGTCTGCATCATGGGCAGTCATTGTGCATGTTTCAAGAGAGGCCGGTGGTGAAGTTGTTACTTGGCTAGCTCAAGAACAATCGCTGTCAGCTAGCTAGAATCACATCGCTTAAAGGGATAGTCCGCCCAAAAACTATAATTTGTATGTCAATTACTCACCATTTGATGTCTCGAACGGACAAAGTTGTTTTTCACCTGGCGCAACTTTATGGCCACTGGAGAGTTTTGAAAAATTATCCAAATTCCTTTTTTGCTGGAAGCAAATGGGGTCACGCAGTAGCAACGGTAAAAAGTCCACAAAACGTCTGTTGACAATCTTTCAAACCATCGTCGAACGCATCGTCCAGTATAATCCAAGTCTGCTTTGTCCACTCGTATCCTCAGAACTCTAGAAAAGCGGTTATTTTTCGCTACAAATAATAAAATACCACAGTTATGCTTCAAGTAAGCTCGCGCATTCAACGGAAGTCCCGCCTCCCGGCTCGTTCCTAGAGACTAATAAAGTTTTTGAAACGCGTCTTCTCCCTTCTCTCAAAAACTTTATTAGTTTATTTTTCTAAATTTGCATATATAGTCAAAGATGTTTATTTGACAATGCTCAACAGGCGCACTGTGCAAACTGACAAATTATATATACCTGTACAGGGATGCATATTAATGTCATAGCAAGAGTAAAAACTGGAACATAGCGGCTGTAAAAACTTGCAAGTGATCTCTGATGGGGATCAGGGAGATACACGTCTCGGTCCCTCTGGCGACCGAGTTATCTAGTGTTTTTTTTTTTTTTTTTTTTTTTTGGACATTGTAAGACCACCTGCTGCCATGGGGCAAATGTCCCAGCTTGCTCTTTTCCTTTATTCAACCCAATGCAGTCCTGAACCAGAGTGCCAAACTTCTGAGGGAATGCGAAATGCTTCCGGAAAATTTTTTTACTGACCTCAGTATTTTTTCGGCGACATGGTGAATAGAGCTGAATAAAGGACGACAGAATCGTCTCTGTTTAACCAATCATGCTACTCTAATCCTGTCCCTGTTTAATTTGCCCAATTAGCAATCAAACAGTGGATTCGTTTACGAACTAAGTTGAATGAGTAAAGCTATTTATTAACATGGTGTGTTTGATTGCCGCATTTCGAAATTTAAATGGCCATAGAACAGCAGATTTGCATGAACCCAATTACGCCATTTTGTGCGGTTGCGATAATTTATATCTCACATTCACGTTTCATCCGCTTTAGAGAATGTTTTCCATCTTGTTTATTTTTTAGAT